GAGTATAGGAACTACTATAGACGACGAACTTACTCTAATAAAGCCTTTATCGAGTAGTTCTATATTCGGGGGATAAGTTTTAGGATCTATAGTAGAAGTAGTCGAAGACCGTAGAAAGAAGGAGTAGAATATTTAGTCGCTTTCTATCTTATTAAATAACTTAAGATCTATTTAAGTAAAGGAGTATAGGCCTATTTTATATAGGCGTAGGCTTCGTTATAATATCTCGTAAGTACGAGAGTAATTGCCGAGTATTCGTAAATACGAGTTAACTCCTAGGATGCTTAGAAATTAAGTTAAGTAATTTCTAATCCTATAGAATAGAATAGCGTTTTATAGAATCTTCCGTAAGGCTTAAGTATAGCCTTACTAAATAGATACTACGTAATCCTTAGCTTATATAAGCCTAATTACGTGACTAGGCGTTAATAGGGTATCGCTTAGTCTTAATAGACCGTAATATAGCTTCGCAGGTACTATAGAATCTAATACCTTCTTCCTCTCCTCCTAAGTTAGATTTCGATAGCCTAATAAGTATAGATATCGATACTATTAAAGTCTTATAATCGGGTCCGATATCGACTAGAGCGACGTAAGACTCGTAGAGAATAGACTAGACTAAATTATCTCGCCGTATAAAGGAAAATTAGTAACGACTATAGAAGCGAAGACTTTAGCGTAACGAAACTTATTCGATATAGTCCTAGGAACGATAATTAACGATAAACGCTATACCGCGACGAAATAGATACGTCGAAGGTCGTTCTTTACGACTATACCTAAAGGCGAAGGTTATTCGAGATCTTTAAATAATAAATAAGAATTACTCGAATATATTTTTAATATTTTCTATCTATAAAAAGGCGAACTAACTTTCTTAGAGCTACGAAACTCTTCCTTAAAATTATCGCTATCGTATCTAACTAATTACGAAACTTAATATAAAGACGCTAAAAACGCCTAAATCCTAGAAAAACCTAGCTATTAAACTATTCTACTATAGCGAATACGAACTATCGACCGAAGATTATTAAAACGTAGAATATTACTAAGACACTACTAATAGATAACGTAATTATCGCTATAGTACTATGGATAAAGGTCGAGAACTAACTAGTAGTTCTACTAAGGAAGATTATAAACTAAATTAAGAAGACGAACCTACGCTTCGTCCTTAAAGTTATATTTAAGACTATAAAGTAGAATAATTAAGGAACTCTAAATCGAACGAAAAAGACGCGACTATAGCTAACTTCGTATTTAGGCTAGAACGATCTAAATTTATAGCTTTATTATTATTTCTCTCGATATCTCGTATATTCGTATCGTAACGCGCCTTCGTCTATACCTTACTAGCTCGACGATTCCGAGATAAGACCTTAGATATATACTAATCTTAACTAGATTTCGGCGGTCGAAGAGAAGACGAAGAAGAACTATATTACGAGAACTAACGCGACTATTTAAACTAATAATTTATAATATTTATTAATTATTATAATTATCGTATCTTATTAAGTATTATAAGTTAATTCTATTAACTTCTTCGTAATTTCGCTCGTATCTCCTCTATTTAGATTCGATAAGCTTAAGCCTACTATTATAGGAGAGCTTAGAAGTCGAGAGAAGGAGAATTACTTAGAAGTTAAATAAATATACTAGAGCGAGTATCGAAGAAATAACTAGATATTTCGAAACTAGTATCGCCTTAAGGATTAGTAGAACTTAAAGGCTAATAGAAGTAGAATTAAGAAGGAAATAAAGAAGGAGGCGGTAGTCGAAGATCTTAAGAAGTACTACTTAAGGCTAGATTATCGCTAGAAGAACGAATCGAAGAAAGAAAAGGTTAACGACTTATAATTAAAGAAGAAATAGAATCGTATAGAATATTACCTTATAGTAGCGATTAATTTTCGATTAACTCTCGAATTATTAAAAAAGAAGTAATATTTTTAGTAATATAGAACTTATTCTTCTCGCTAGCCTTAAGCTTCTAGTCCTTATTATCGTTAATTTTACCTAAGAAACGTACTAAGGTACTACGAATAGCTTTCTAATTCTTACGAATTATCTAGGGATTATTTTAATCTAGACCTTAAAAATTAAAATATTTAAATATAATCTCGTTCGAATTCGTCGCGACGATAATCTCGTTACTAATTTTAATTAACTTTCTATTAGAATTCGAAATATAGACTACGATATAATTATCTACGTTAATAAGAAATATATTTTTCGCTTTATAAATAGGAGTAGCGGTCGGTCGACGAGTAATTCGAGCTAACTTACGACTTATTATTATAGGTATAGACTTAACTACGAAGACTTCGCGAGACTTAGCCTTAAAAAGATAATTCTTTTCTTAATTTTAAGTAACTACTTCGAAGCTATTACGAGATCGAAGGAAATAAATCTAACTCCTCTTAAAGTAGAATATATAATTACTTTCTAGTAATATTAGAATAGAAATATTAAAGTTAGTAATAGACGAATCTATCGATACTATAACGTACTTTAGGAATATCTACTAAGAATAGTTTATCGAGTCGAAACCTTTCTAGTACGAATTATACGTATCGCTTAAATTACGTACGAGACTAATAGAATACTTAATCGCTAATATAGTATAATTAAGTATACTAAGATTTAATTTACTAGCGTACTCGATAAATCGAAGTAGAAAATAATTAACTATAAGGCGAATATAGAAACTACTATAATACCGATTCTTTAAGCTATCGATAAACTTCTAAATCGATATTAAAGAAGGCGTATTAGTCGCGGATATTAAACTTAGAATTAATTACTAATAATACTATAAAACGAGTTAGCTCTAGTACGATCTCGAAATACTTAATCGGCTTACGAATATAATAGAAATATTACGTAGTATTAAAGTATTATCCTAACGCTTCGTAATTATAGTCGAAGCTAGCTTAGAACGACGACTATCGCTACGTTCGAGCTAGCCGTCGAATCGAGAACGATTCGACTTAACGTTAACTTCTTAATAGTTCTTTTTAGCGCGAGTAGGTATTTCGAATACGTAAAAGTAGGAAATAAGAAAGAGAGCGAAGTAAAAGAAGAAGAAAGAGGAGACTTTAGAGATATAGTACGAAATAGAAAGAGAAGAATAGCTACGAGGCCTTAATATATAGACTTAGGATAGCGCCGAATTAACTCCGATCGTATATACTAAGCTATTATAGTAAGTAAAGTCTCGAGAACGTTTCGATAACGCTAGTCTATTACGAGGCTAGTTATAAAATAATAATAAGAGGAGTATCTTAGGTATTAATATTTAAAATAAGGGTCTAGCGTCGATAAGGTAAAGAAGATAATCCTTATAAGGTATCTATATCTTACCTTAGCTCCTCGAGTATATATAAGACTATTATATACTTTATTAGTACGTCCGAGACTATTTATATTTAGTTATATCGCCTCGAAAAGACCTTATAGATACGCGCGAACTTAAGCTTAATCCTATCGCGATATATACTTCCCGACGCTCTACGCTAACTCGGAATTAGATATAAGCCTCTTTACCTAGCTAAACCTCTTCGAAGTAATACTAGGATTATTACTACGATATAAATAGTACTATAGACTTATTACGAGAAATATAATCTATTCGAGAGACTACGCTAGTAAGTTAACGGCGTTATCCTCGATATTATAACGAGGCCGTTATTCGGTTAGGTAGGGGAGGATATAATTATTAATACTAAGCGATTATAAAGACCGTAGTCTATAATATCGCTTCGCTATATCCGAACTAGCTCCGAGAGCTATTCGAACGCTATCCGAAGCGAACCCGGAGCGCCTAGGCGCTAATCTAGTACGTACGTAGGATACTATATAGTCTAACGAGTCCCTCGTACCGTCTTAGGAATGATTATATTCCCTTCCTATTATAGGCGATTAAGTGCCTCTAATTATAGCTTAGTAATCGTAATATAGTCGCTTTTGCTAATGGCGCGGTCGATACGAAGCTATTAGATCCGATGTAGAGGTTCTATACGCTAGGCATTCGATATGAGAATGGTGTTGTATAGTTCCGCCAACACGTCCCTGTATACGGCGCGTATACGAACTCGGTGTCGTATAACCCACTACGAGTGCGTACTTATTGAACCGTTTTTCGTATACCTACTAGTTGCTAAAATTATTCCGTATATAGGCGGTTTAATACTATTCAATACGCTGGAGACCTAAAGCCCTGGATTTTCAACTCACCTTACTATCACTTCATTCGACCTTAGCTTGGCCTTCGCCTTTCTCTAGTGGTTATAACAACGGGCAGCAGCAGGCAGCCGTATAGGCATTAGAAACAATATCGACAACGATACAGCACTCCCTTGCACCGGTTAAGTCAAATATATTCATAGTTCTCAATATTGAGTTAATATAGAGAAAGTTACTATCCGCACTATATACTGAGAATATTGATAGGGGTTCTTCAATACGGAATACATCACCGACCTCAACTGTCACTTCAGTCATAGAACCATAGCTGCAACTCATAGTTTACTTTATCTATTGCTAGTAGATGAGCAGGAATTACCTGCCATACCTCCTTCCCAACCTCACAAAAGGCTATCTTGCTCGTGCCTTTACCTCTACGAAAAAGGGGCTTCCTAGAGAGTTGTGGAGCGCCACTGATCAATTTGGTCAAACTACAGGGAGTCTAACAGCTTTCCTCCTTGCCTTGAGAGAGTTGCTAGGCTGGCCCGAAATGAATGTAAGTGGCGGTGGTATTGGGCCTAATTCCTTAGGTAGTGCCGGTCTAGAAATGTCCTGCAAATGTATTGGTCATTACGAAGATAATCCCCGGAGGCTAGATATTAGTGGCAAAAGCCCAACAAGCATTTATGAGACTTCACTAAATGGGCTCAAAGGGACACAGTAAACATGTCTAATCAGTGCATTCGAAACCCTCCCATACCTTGAATCTATCTTATGCTAAGCAACAAGTGGTATAGAAATCATCTTACCTTTCAGAAATCGCCGGTCGTAGCCCCCTTGGTCGAGATATGTTGGCCGTGGAAGCTGAAGGCCACTGGAAGCTCCGCGCATGCCCTGCCCAGCTCCAACATCGTCTTTGCGTCCAAGCATAGTAAGTAGCTTTTCCCTACGTAGCCGTCAAGCACAACACTCAACAAGACACCATCATCCTCTGCTGTTCCTTTCGGATTAGGTACAAAGATAGCTTCACTGGGTGTCTGACCATGAGCCTCCCATAGTGATGCCAGACTACCATTGTCAAACTTGGCAATGCCATCGAACATTGTCGACTTGCTCTGATTTGTGAGTGTGTACGTGTAGCGGGTCTGCCGTGTCCCCCACGTTCCGTTGTAGGTCGGCAGTTCGGGACTGAGGTTCTTGCCTGTTTTCCATTCCATGGTGACTTGCAGTGACTCGCCCGGCGAAACTTTGCCAACGCTTGGCAGGCGAAACCTTGTGAGAGAACCCCGCATGGAATCGGGCTTTGTGTCAACAAACACACGGGCCTCCTTGGAATCCGACAGAATGTTCTTATAGAAGGGCCAGTACATAGAGTCCAGATTATCATACATAATTAGGTCGGTGACAATATCCGTGTCTCGCCCGTCTGTGGGCGAAAGCTCCTGCCAGGCATTGATGGTATGGAAGCAGAAAAATGCCGGGCCATCATATTTCGCAACGAGGCCTTGAGTACCTGTCCGATCAACTACATACCAATGCGATGGGACGGTAGGATCGAAAGGTTGGATTTTGTCAATGATGGGCGCTGTTGGGGACGTCGACTTGATTTTGAGGTAGGAATTCCACACACAAAGCACGACATAATCTTTCGTAAGGAATAGAGAGTGGAGGTAAGCTGGGCGGTCTTCAAACTTCGCAAGGATCGTGGTCTCTTGTGTCGATGCTGAAATGGTAAAGACTCGGTAGATTGAAGATTCACTGTCGGACGTGCATTGATAATTGAATACGTCCCCCGTCTGGGGATCCGATCGAGCGTGTGATGCTGCCAGCTCACCTGTCAGGTCCGGGTGCAACATATCCTGTGTTGCGACTGCAAGCGGCTCCATCGTGTCGAAGTCGAGTGCTTTGTACACCGGTGCGTCCGTTTTAGCGATGAGTAAGTCTTTCTTTTGGGAATCGGGGTTTCGCCCCATGATCTGAGGGAAAAGCTTTGCAGAGCCCGGCATGTTGTAAGACAGAGTTACGTTGATATTATGTACTGTGGGATCTGCAGGATCCCACTCGCTCTGTGCGTCCTTGAAAATAGCTTCGCATGGATCCGGGCTTCCGCCAAATGTTGGATATGGCGGATGTTGCCCATTTTCCTTGATATAGTCATACCGACCCTGGTCTGCAAAACGCGAGCTATAGAAGACTCGACTTCCAGCACAGTTTTGATCGGCAACGATCTGAAAACGGTGGGTTTGACTGAAGCCATCGATCCAGTGCGATAACTGGAATATTTGGCCTGACTTTGTTGGCACCGAGTTCCTTCCGGGTCCTGTGCGGTAGAGATTCCCTGAGGCGTAAGTTGGAATGCTTCCAGCCATACGTAATTCCACGGGTTGCCGCTGTTCGACATCCGCTATAAACTAGCCATAACATTAGTGAAATCTTGATATTTTGTTGATCAAGGGAACTTACCCCTTGCGTGTTGGGCCAGTCATTGTAATGATCCGATGGTTTGACTTGGACTTTAGCTTCCGGCATTTTAGTGGCTGAGGATTCAGTCTCTGCGCGTGGTGTGCAACGAAGAATTATACGCTGAATTTTCTAACTTGTAACGCTGTAATAGTAGTAGAGAGGAGAGTTGTAGGGTCCAACGGTTCTTTTATGGCCACTAAGTGAAAGGGAGGAACCCTCTACGCACGTAAAGTAGTCTTCCGTTTGAGCTCGAGTGTGATGATTGATTATATTACCTTATTTCATCACTGTGAAAATGTATGGGTCGCGCGTATCGCGCTGGCATTGTGCCACCACTTATCTGCTTCAATAGTCTTAGTGTAAGTCACACTTATGTGGAGCCATACCTAGGAAATATCAAGGGTTGCTTTATCGAACGCTCTCAAATATTACTTTGCAGTGGGCTGCCAAGATTCGCAGCACCACGCCGACCACTCGGGTGGGACAGATTACAACAAGGTCGTTTCCGACCCACAAGTCACAGTTCCGAAAGCGAACATTTACCACATAGTCTTGGCGGGAAGTCTTTGCGACCTGCGTTACCTCACTATTCCTCTTCCAAGGTGGGCAAACCGGGAGTGAGTTTTCGAAGTCATGTCACCGGCCTACAGTTAGAACGCCTCTGGCTGCCTGAACAGCAACGAAGTGAAGGGTTAGGTAAATATGGATTTCGCCTCAGCTATCCTTGGAATAAGTGGCCACTTGAAGTCCCAGGTCACATCTAGATTTCACTATTTAGCATAAGCACGGGATCTACATCGAACAAAGTTTGAAGTCTATAGTAGGATTGCTAGGTGCCAGTCATCACGCAGAACTAATTGAAAGTGTGCGGGAGCTTTGATGACGCCGTGATCATCACGTCTCTCGTCAACATCGTTCGATCTCTTCTGCATGGTTAAAGGTGACAGGCGCACCTCAAAAACCCCCCAGCCCCAAAATAGGTAGCGGTGTAGACTCGGTTGCACGGGAGGTGTCCCCTGTCTCTGACTGTTCATCCACCACCCACGCAGGTGGAACAGTACAGAACTACTGATGCGGCGAGGTCTCTTCTTGAATAGTCGATGCAGATATATCTACTCTGCGACAGCGAATGCGTGTGGAGCATGACCTTGAGACCCGAGGCGCTATTGGAATGATTCGGTCCATTCCTCATTCTCCCTGCGCAGATGCCATCGGACCTGCAAAATGCTAGCGATCGTCCAAACCAACACCCAAAAGACAGGTGCTGCCCAACCTTCAGACATGTGTCAATGTTACGGCCCGGGGAAGTTTCGGTTCTGAGAGTCAGGTGGACTTACAGATGCCGTAGGCCATATCTGCCGCCACAATATCCAACAGTAAAAATGCCGTAAGACTCGTCGCCATAAGAATGGCAGACAAGGACCAGAAAATTGATGGGGAGAGCACCAATTTCCGAAATCGAAGACTGCGTTCATATCGGACGGCCAGAACTTCTCGGAACGGTCGGCCCCCGCTGCAATTCACAGCTATTGTATCTTCGATGAGATAGTACAACCCCGGACGAACTGCGGCGCCACGGGAGTAGAGCTCAGACGGAAAGGAGCTTTCCAGTCTACTAGGTGAAAGATATCGAGGATAAAAATGCTACCCCCAAGGCAAAACAGTATCGGGGGAACTGGCATACTCAACACCTTCATCCACACAGGACTCCGTATCGTGCCCACTACGAACAATGTGAGGACAGCGATGACACAGAGAAAGGAAACATAGGTCAGGTAATCAAAACTCCACCGAGGCGTCGCTCCTAGTGGCCGATAAAAGCCGTCTCTCATTGTCAATCGGAACGTACGGATAGTCATTTCCCAATACAAGGATCCGCCCCAGGTAGCTGTGACAATGGTAAACACTAACCAGTCTCGCATGTCTGTCAACTTTGCAAGGCTGTAGTAGAGAGCGATCAGCATTACACAGACATCGACAAATATCATGAGTATTTTGGCCACTAAAATTGCACCCTTCTTCCCTGAAGGCCAGAGCAATGGTAAATCTGGAAGCGGCGTCGGATTTCTTATGTAAAAGTCTTTCAACTTGCCGGTCGAGGTTTCTTGGTTCTGTGCTTATGTGTGGGGTGCTCGGAGGTGGTGGTGTCTGCTGTGGAAAGATAGAAACTTCATGCGGATAATGGCTTGGAAGCTCGAATAATGAATGGTTCAGAAGCAGGAGACTCGTGGTCTAGGATGTCTGGTGTTTCAACCATGGCTCTCTAAAGGAAGGGAAATGTGTTGATGAAGGAGCACCTTGACTTCTTCTAACCACTATGACAAAGGCTAATGACATTTCCACCGAGCGGCAATAGATATCGGGAATGCTTGAGCTCGAGGGATATGTGCAGGTACTATAATGTGATATATGAGCTGTGCCATGTATTGATATTGAGATGAACTCCACAGGGCAGTGGCTTATTCTCCTTTGACGGCGACTACTCCAGATGCGTAGCCCACCACCCATATATTGCCGTGCGTGACACTACAGGCAACCAGGGTAACTTTCGTTAGCTCCGTCCTACTCTATATTAGTATTAGTGTCAAATATACTGTAACATGTCGTTTTAATACACTCTACGCGTAGAACGCGTATATCATACCTTCCTGTCGATATTGATGAGTGTGAGAATAGGCAAGATGGAGGCAACGACGAGGACGATAACTACTACAAATACTACTACTACTACGATAACTACGACAACTACGACTACTCCTGCTCCTGCTACTCCTGCTCCTACTACTACTCCTCCTCGTAAGCCCTAACACGCGATCAGCGCCGAGATATCCTACTACTCCGACGACTAAACTATTCCTACCCGTATATCGCTGAGTTTCTCAAGGTCTCACAACGGGGAATGACTCGGGAGATGACATTCGTCATAACTTTCGTACCGGATGATATTCGGTTAATGCCCAGGCGCCTAGTAAATTGTATGAGCCGTGGTCAGGTTTGGCACCTTATTTCATGAATCCTGCAGGTCTCGTATTGCTTGCAAATCGACCTCGTCGGCGCCAATTGCGCAAGGCTGAGTTTGTAGAGCCTCGTCGGCAAGACCTTAGTGTTGATGACTCACCTGCCGCCTATTCGACCTCGTTGTCGCCTAGGCCTATCGGACCTCGCTGTCGCCTGTCTCCGCCTGTATCCGTGCCTTACCTTACTGTCGCTCCTGCGACTCCGGCAGGTATCCTTGCTCCCGTGCCTCCTCCATTTTGGTTGTATAGCGTCTCCGTCTCTTTCCTCGGCCAAGCGCTCCTAGCCCGGCTAGCACCGTAGACGGCGGAGGTTTAAACTACGTAGGTGATAGTTCCGGAGAGAGTTGTCGGCGCGGCCTAGGTCTAGGTGTTGTAGGAGTGCGAATTGGTAGTGGTGTCATCGCCGCCGGCGTAGGGCTAGTAGGAATAAGAGGACTATTAGGTATATAATCCGGAGTCTTTCGCCTAGTAACTTCTATAGTATCTTCCTCCTCTTTCAATGCCTATTAAACCGCTTATTCGTACTGACCCTACTGTCGCTATTGCCTAATCTCCTAGCGCTCCTATTACACAAAAAGCTTATTTACTATTATTGCTCGTTTGGAGGTATTATTATGAGGTTTTCGCCGTTTCTAGGTACGTTTTAGTATCTTATCTAGCTATTCTATAGGTAGATTTTATAGGTATAGATATTGCTCGCCGAGCGCAATCACCTTCTCTTCTAGGGCCTCTTCGAGAGCCTCTCTTTATCTATTAAATCGATAAAGTTCCTCCGGTACAAGTTACTATCGAATATAAGTAATTCTCTCTTAGTTCTCGGCTTAAAATGTAGGTATAAATCTAGCTGTAGAAGGTGCTAATTTAGAGGTCTTATAGGTAGGTTCCTAGTTGAGAAATGTAATTTTTAGGCCTCGGAGCTACTACCGAGGATGAAATAGAGTGCGCGGAATAGGTTAATTCGTTCGCTAGGCGCGTAGGAGATAATGTCGATAGGGTAGGCTAAATCTATATAGGAGTTCGCACTCGCAAGGCCCTAGATCCGGAGTTAATTAATTCATTATACGCACTAAATTAAGTACTCCTTTACAACTTTCGTAAGAGCGAATTCGGTGACTTTAAATCGTAGATTTATAAAGATAGGATCCTCCGTAACTCGTGGATACCGTCGGAGTGAGTTATTCTCGGTTTTAGTAAGGTCTTTCATAACTAATTTAACTCGCTAATAGAGCCTCGTCGCCGCTAACTCGAGAGATAGTTACCCATTTAATACCTATAAGAAAACGATGTAATACGACTTAGAGCGCTAACTAGTTAAATAACCTAGATTATATAGGTATTTAGTATAGTATCGAATAATCCTACGCTCCTTTGCTCTCTAAACGGTATCAATGTATTTCCTATTAATTAGGAGCGACGATAAGGTCTATCTATTACGCTCTAAATCCTTCTCGGTTACCGAGTTAATATACTGCTAGGCGAGGTCTTTAAGCGACTTAATAGCGTTTCTATACTTATCTTTTCCGCCTCGAACCTATAATTTCGTATACCCTTATTTCCGGAATGTAACGATTATTACCTCGACGGCGTACTAGGCATAGATTTAATGCCTACTCGTAGGTAGGCACTCTTTAATAGATAAGAGAATAGCTGCCGCCTAGTCGCTGATCACAATAAGAGGTAGTATATAATCCTTCGGTAAATACGCCTTAAGAGACTCCTAAAAGAAGGAGTATAATTTATAAGACTTACTCGGGCACTAGCTAAATGCTATAGGAAAGGTCTTACCGTTATTTAGGACTCCTACTACGACGATGATGGGTATTCTAGCCTTATTTATATTAAAGGTTACATCGATTATATAGATAGATCCTGCTATAAAGCGAGCAGCGCCATCTAATAGGTCCTAGTAAGTAAACTAGATCTATACGAGTTTACGACTAATAACCTCGCTAGTTTACTCATCGATGAGGTCCTTATACCGACTTCTATACATAAAATCGGCATAATCGAGAGCGATAAGAAGACCCTTAATTGTCTTGGAATTATCGCCTAATAATCGCTCATTCCTAATCGAGTTATAGTACTCTTTCGCCGTTAAAGTTAATGGGTATTTATCTCTCTCCAAAATACGCCTATAAATCGAGTACGAAATAATCGATGATCGATGAGCGAGTACTTCTCGACGTACACGCTTATATTCATCTATACGGTGTCTCTAACGAGGAAATATAAGAGCGTTATCGGCGAGATTATAACCGTAATGATCGAGATAGTCTACTCTAAGTATCCACGTCTTTAGTTTAGTGCCTCGCTTACCGATTGACTTATAGGAGACCTTACAACACCATCGATAGTCGGTTTTACGTATACTAGTTAATTTACGCTTACGCCGAGATATGATTTAGTCGTCGGCACTCCTAGAAACCTCCTTCTTAAGCCTCCGAGTATTCATCGTCTCTACGCCGTGAAAGACGTAGTTGAAGGTTACACCGAGCGATAAGCGAGTGGATTCCGTACGAGAAAAGGTCCTGACAACGTCGAAACCCTGAGAGAGCGAATAGGCGATTAGACGGCGTTTACACTCGTCGGAATCATTAAAAACCTCGCCGTCATGAGGTGCCAATAGCCACTCAGGTGGATAGGCATTTACTGCCTTTTCGAGGACCTCTCGCACCTCCGGCGCTAGCCGTGAACTGCCGTGCTAGGCCATTGCGTAAAAATGAGTCTAAACACCAAGAAAACCTATATAGATTCAGCCTTGCGGGCGACGACGAGGTCAAAATGCAGTGGTGGCAGATAGGTGAGTATTGCACTCGACAGCGATGTTTCAATAGGTACCTTTGTGCGCAAAATAGGTGAGACTATACCTAAATCGGCATAGATGCCGAGTGTCATTTGGTACGAAAGTCATGACGAATGTCATCTCCCGAGGCGTTCCCTTATAACGCGCTGTACAATATACCTGTCAAAAGCAACGAAGTACTCCTCAGCATCGAAATACAGGACGCCCGCCTAGGCTATCTCGTATAGAGGCTGATAAAGTTGAAGAGTTTGTACTAGCTCACAGACGACGCGTCGAATAACTTATTTACAGGTTGCTGAGGCCCTCTGGCCAGAGGGTGAAAAAGGAGCAGAAAGTATACGATACGTACTCCATCAGCGAGGATATCGCTGTCGAAGAGCACTACGGAAGCCTCCTTTATCCGAGCAAAATAAAGCTATACGCCTAGAATGGGCACAAGAGCATATTTAGTGGTCACAAGAGCAGTGGTATCGTATTCTATGGTCTGATGAGACCTGGATAAAAGCAGGAAAGCACTGTCGTACGCTAGTTACGCGTAAAGCTGGTGAGGAGCTCCTTCCAGACTGTATTATCGATCGTCTACAGCGTCAGTCAGGATGGATGTTCTAGGCTTGCTTTGCTGGCGACGAAATAGGTCCTCATCTTTTCTGGGAGAAGGAATGGGGTACGATTACTGCTGATTCCTATAGTGAGCGTATCATACCTCTTATTCACGGATGGATGCGACTTCGTCCAGGCCTAACTTTTATGCAGGATAATGCCCCAGCGCACTCAGCAAGGAGTACTATTCAAGAATTTCGAGAACGAGATATATATCCTATTAAGTGGCCTCCATACTCACCAGACCTTAACCCTATTGAGACTATTTGGAATGAGATGAAAGACTGGCTAGCTAGAGAGTATGGAGACACACAGGCGACGTACGATCGGCTACGGGAGAGGGTCACTCTAGCCTGGCATGCTATAGGGCGACAACTACTTATGGACCTCATTGCGACAATGCCACAGCGCTGTCAGGATATCAGCGGTGCTCATGGAGGACATACAAAGTGGTAAATACTGTATATAAACTAGGCTAAATAGAGCATAATTAAAGGGCCATAAAAAAGCAAGCCAACGAAAGTTACCCTGGTTGACTGTACTGAACTAAATTGTGTAGAGCTCGGTACGCCCGTAGGGCGCCAAAGATCCGACTGGTAAGGTACCCACCTCGGATTTGACAGAGTCCAACTGAATAGCATGACTTGAGCAGTCCCTGCGTTTGTGGTCGTCTGCACTAACAACGGCAAGATACCAGATGCATAGGGTCTCACATCTCCTTTCATCACACAATCACCCTATCGTTGGAAAAATACGTTGCACTCAGTCAGACAAGGATTAAAAACAGCAGCTTAGGCCGGGAGAGCATCGGAGTTGTAGTATCAGCGCGTGACAGCTTGGGCGTTGACCAATTGTATCAGGCATCAGAACGGCGCTCAATGACATGGCCCTGTTTCCGCAAACCTGGCGTAACCGAACGGTTATCCGGCATAGTCTTGTCCGCGGACGCCAATCTTGTAACCATGCTTAGGTCGCGACCTCGTCGGCGATAACTGAGAGGCTCTGAAGAGGGCCTAAGGTTCTTATCGGCCAGCTACGGGATTTTATAGTCCACAGAAGGACAGCCCCTTTCCAAGGGTGTAATGGGCGCCAAGCCTTCCACAGTAAGATGATCTGGGAGGGTCCTTTCCACTAGTAGGAGATAAACAGTCGGATCAAGCGTTGAAGTTCTAACCTGGGTGTCCCATTCCAGGATTGAGTTTGAAGATGAGAAAATATCACTATCGGACAAAATCCAATGAGGGTGGGATGTTTTGTTTTCTCCGAAAATCACATTAATCATTAGAGGATAACTTATAGGATTAGAAAGTATAGTTATCAGAAGGCAAGCTCTTGCTTTGGCTGCTGCTAGCTTGCTACTACATAGTGTATCACTGTCGCTGCTACTCTGACTTGATTTATACTTGCTACATTACTCGAGTTAATTATAGTAGAATTTAGTGTTGTTTTAAGATTTCTAACTACTTCTATTCACCTCCTATCGCACTTAGTGCGTGAGATTTCCTATATCATTCTGTCTCTCTGCCTGGATACTGTGGGAATGAGAATTACATATACCAAGATCTAATTCAGGCAACAATCCTGTCAAACAGGCTTCCATCACAATATAACTCATTCTGTTAGATGCTGAGGTTGATACCTCCCATCTCTAAAGTCATCCAGGGGAAGCCATTGCTATATGCACAATGGGGCTTGCACTACAGAATAATTCAACGTCTAGTACTACTGTCTAGTAGCATTCAAAGATACAAATAGTTCATACTATAATAGCAGAGATTTAAAGGATGATGGTAGGAACGACTGCTGAGATACCGCAGAGAATCATCGACCGAAGGAAATACACCATAGAGATGGGTCAAAGGCACTATAGCTCGGGGGTTCCCGGACAACCAATGAACCAGAAGAAAAAAGGAGAGATATGGGAACAGGGAAAGGGGGACTACTACTGTCATCGCCAGGATTGATCTTTAGCCTCGAACGAAGACTCGATTGTGATGATATGTTCTTGTACCATGCCCACTGCCGTAGGCTTACTGAGAAGTAAACAAGTACGTTGAGACACAAATCTGCCTGCTCTATTGCTTTTCGTTAGACGATCGCTCCCACGCTTCAAAGTAACAATATTCAGTAGACAACCGTCCCTGGCAGTATTACTGGTATGGTTGATCAACACTCGTATACAAGATTCGTGCTCATACAAATTCTTTAGATTCTTTCCCCTCCGAATTTCTCGCTACAACGCGTCCTCTCATGTCGAAGACTAGTCTAATTTAGGCGGTTATCTCAAACCCCTTTGGAGCCCTTACCTCGTATTGCTCGACTCTCCTTGTCGATTCTCTCTCATCTGTAAGCCTTACACCTCAATCTTCAGAACGGCCTTCCCAAAATTCTCACCCTTGAGCATGCCGATAAATGCCTCGGCTGCATTCTCGATCCCGACCGTCTCATGGACCTTAGCTTTAAAGGTGCCGTCCTTTAAACACTTGCTCACCTTGTCCCGGTGAGAGGCAGCGTACTTCAGTCCCATGTTGTCATCACTGACGATGAAGCCCGTCATCGTCAGACGCTTGGAGACGACTTGCATCGTGTTGTAAATGGGATAGCGGTCCTTGGCATCGATATTGTACTGACTTATTTGGCCACAGGCGACGATTCTGGCACAGGTGTTATTTTACAAATGTTCGGACGGACAAAGCTTCTTATTCTTCTTATTCTTCTTCTTCTTCTTCTTCTTCTTCTTCTTCTTCTTCTTCTTCTTCTTCTTCTTCTTCGGTGAAGGAGGCAGAAGCAACGGCAGATCAAAAACAACTCACCTTCCAAAATAGTTCAACGTGTCAAGAGCCCCCTCGAGCTGCTCACCACCCACATTGTCATAAAAGATGTCTATTCCCGTCCCGTTAGTTAACCTTTCTATGATCTCCTTTGTAGACCCCTTTTCCGTCTTGTAATTCCAGCCACCATCGAATCCCAGCTCCTTGGTGATAAATTCCAGCTTATCATCCGAGCCCACACTGCCCAGCACAGTCAAGCCCTCGTGCTTTGCCAGCTGCCCCACTAGTTGGCCCACAGCGCCAGCAGCGCTGGTCACGACTATCGTCTCGCCTCTTTTCGGCTTACCGATCTCATACAGTGACGAATACGCTGTAAGGCCGGGCATACCTAATACGCCGAGCCAGTGGCGGAGATCCTTGGGGGTATCGGGGTCGGAAAGGTCCAAATTTTGAGGCGTGTCACTGTGTGGAGCTTGTGTGAAAACGCTGTATTCCTGCACGGGCAAGCTGTGTCGAATTACGTCGCCTTCGGAGTAGCCATCGAGAGTTGACCTCAAGACTTTTGCAAGCGAAAGTGATGGCAATGCTGCGCCGACGGACAATGGCGGAAAATATGATTTGATGCCGGGATGTCTCAGCAGGGCACGGAGATAGGGGTCGAAAGAAATATAGAGAGTCTGCAGAAGAAGGCTGGCGGCTGGTATATCTTGATTTGTGTCGAATGGCCCAACATCTTTAACTGTCAAATGTTCGCCCGATAGCGGGAACCCAGAGGGGATCTTAGTGAAGATCAAGGCTCGGTTTCTATAAGACATCTCGACTATCTTTGAAGGCGTCCTGGATTCGAACTTAGGATGGTAGAAGAGGATATAAATGGAATGGGTATGATGCTAATTTCTGCACTAGAGGTTGGAGGGTGGAGAAACCAAACAGTAGTGATGATCTGTGTTCTGCAGAGAAAACTGTGCACTTCCTTTCATATGACTGAACACAATCAGAAGGACCAGACACCAATTTGTATGCTGTGAACACCGGAAAGGCACGGCAAGGAAAAGTATCCCAATTCCAACTTCCACAGTATCTTCGATGGCGTCATTGCAGTAGTAGCCCTATTAGACGTTTCTTGGTCAAAGTTTCACGCAACCTTCGCCCTGGTCAACCTGAAAGACTCTGTCGATCATCACACCAGACTCCATCAACTAGACTGGGTCAAGCTTTGCGCCGTGCCCGCAGGACATCGACTGGGAAAGCCGAGAGAAGAATGTCTCGGGCTCGATGGTCCCTCGAGGCAGCACAATCGGATCAATATGCACCCGCACCTGCGAAGCAATCCCTAGTAGAGATATATTAGTTCACCCGAGTTCCTAGGTGTATTGCATAATCATGTGCCCGAGTTTCCGCAACCCCACGGAGCAGGAAGCACTGGTGGTATACTGTATCTCAAAGGAAAACTTCGTCGTGAGAACAAACGTAAGGGATACGTAAGGCCGACAAATACCACCGGAGAGTCCTCAACCCGAACGAGGCTGGGGTAAAAAGATGGAACAATTTCCGAGCTTACTTGTTCAGCATCGACCGGTCAAACCTTTGACATTATTAAATGATGACTTCCTTATGATCGGCCGCAAGGTCATGTTTTCTCGGAAGAAGTCTCTGTAACAGGACACCATATATCGGGGCCTAATGCTTGGCGTAGGAGACGTCCAATCAGCTCACCACTAACTGGCTAATTGTGGTTAGACCAAGCGCTCTTACCGCTCTTACCTCAATTCCTAGACTCCCAAACGTTAGGCGCGGTGTATCCTAGTAGCGTGTCCCTGTGACGATGCGACACAAATATACGATTTGGGTCGAAAATACTATTGATGCCTTTACGGCCGAGACGTCCATGTCACACGGCGAATAGAGCAACTAAAACAAAATCGCCGAGGTTGTGTTGCGTCTATACTCATACAAATTATTACGCCCGACGGCAGAACCGAGAGGGTAAACTAAAGCTAGTCTACTAGTATAATTCTTAAAACGTACCCTAGTCTCCTTAAAGCCTATATAAAGTAAATCTCCTAACCTATATAACCCCAATAATAGTATACTATTATTGTCGGAAGGGGTTAGCGTAGGGTCTAGGCTAACTAGAGGGGGTAATTTTAGTATAGAATTATAGTGTAGGGTTATTTTCCCGTCTACGCCGGCCACTAGGTCTAAATAGTATAATAATTATATCTTCGTACTTAGGAAGACGAGGGGAATCGAAATCTAGTAATTATATAACTTTTAGATGTTACGAACTAGGTTATGGATGAGGTCGCCGGGATAGGCGCCCTACGTTCTAAGGGACAGTTTAAGGAAGGTTAGCCGATGGAGAACGAGGCTACATTACGTAACTAGGGGAGCATTAATGCATTAATGCATTAGAATAATATAGTAATGCACTAAAGTAGCACTTTAAGCATTATATATATATACTCCTTTACCTAGATAGTATAGTTCGTAGTTAACTTCGTTAGTAATCCTATACCTATATTTTAGGATATAGTCCGACGATTATATATTTCCTTTATTATCCTAGTCGACACTCTAGTACCTACTCTATTAAGGAACCCTACCTTAGTTAGAACTACATATAGCTCGAATTATAATACTTTAACTACTACTTAATTAGTATTAGATATCTAACGTAGGATTATCTCGAATTAAATCCCTACTACCTAGCGTACGCCTACTTATAGCCTTAAATAATTCTTTAATATTAGTATTTTAGCCCGTAGCCTAGCGTAACTTAATTTACTATAGGAGCCTAGGGAGCCTAGGGCTACCGTATAGTAAGGATAGTTTTCCCTACGCTTACACATTATAACTAAGCTCTTATAGTAACTATTTTCTACCCTATAAGTACACTATAATCGATATTTTTCCTATATTCCTATATATAATCGATATTTTCCCTATACTCCTATAGTCTATATAGTAAACCCTCTATCGCCCTTCTATTCTATCGTTTTAAGTTTAATAGCTAGTATACCTATATGTACTATATTTCTCTAAGTTTTATTATCTCTAGCTATACCTAGATACGCCGTACTCTCTCTAGGTTTAATTATTTCTAGTCGTGCCTAGTCTTTATTATCTCTAGCCGTACCTAGACTTTATTATCTCTAGCTATACCTAGATACGTCGTACTTTCTCTAGGTTTTATTATCTCTAGCCGTACCTAGATACGTCGTACTTTCTCTAG